GCTTTGTGTGGGCCGAGTCCACTGCACAGGCTCCCGGGACCCAGGCCTTCCAGCACAGGGAAAGGGCCCCTAAGTCAGATGTCCTGGGGCCAAGAGGGCTGGAGACCGGACAGGCCCTTTGGGGCCCAACCTGGCCCCACCTCTGCCCTTTGGAGGTCCTTGGGATGTCACTTTGGGGTGGGGGTAGGTTGTGCCCCTACTGGCCCTCCAGCTGAAGTCTTTTTCACCCCCACTGCCACCCCCACCCTATCCCCCAATTGCCATGCTGAGCCTATGACAATGGCTGGATCAAGTTTATCAGAAGCTTTGCCTCCGCCCTCCCAGGCAGAAGGCCTGTGCAGTCCCTCCGACCCCCACCTCACCCTGCCGCTTCCCGGCTCTCACCCATCCCCCAGCACCTGTGTCTGGCCCTCACGTTCCTCCTGGGCCCTCATCTTTGGGACACAGGTATGAGCAGCTCCTGAGGAGAAGAAGGGATGGCCATAGAAAGGCCAAGGAGGACTTTACTCCACATATCAGACATTGTTCAAAGTAAATCTGTAACCAGATCCCCAGCTCCGATCAAGATTGCGAAAGCAGGACCCATGTGGAGGTAATGTATTAACTCCGGTCACAGGGAGTGGCAAAGGCTTCCTAAGCCTCTCCCACATTCACCGCCCGCACCAAAGCCTGGACACGAGACCTGTTCTTGTTTTTCAAGGAGCCAGATTGGGGGTGAGGCATGGACAGTTTGGAAATTTACCAAGCTCTGGATGAAGCGACAGGAAAAGGAGTAGAAACAGCCATTATTGTGTTACCATCTGAATATTAATAACAAGTTAATCATTGTCATCATAACCACTGTCATTATTGAGGAATGACTGTGTGCCAGGCAACACCTGTGTGTTGTGTTCAAGCCCAGGTGCTAGGCAGTGCTAACCTCTTTTACAGCTCAGGAAACAAATTAAGAGATGTGATCTGACCAAGGCCACAAAGGTACCAAGATTATAGAAAACAACTGCTAAAATTTGGGCTGGCCTGAACTCCCACATTTACGCTGTATCGAACACGATGAAACAGTACCCTCCCCACCACCGCTGCTCACCCCTCAGGGTCACCGGGGCATACCACAGAAGGAGCTGCCAAGGCCAGCCCTGCCTTGCCTGTGCCCCCCAAGTCAGGACCCAAAATGCAGTTCCAAAAGTATTACGAATTTTAAGACAGCAATAGCAGAGCATTAGACAGTCCGGAGCTTTTCTAAGCACCGGGCCGTGTGAGTGCAAGCCGCCACCCAGGACCCGAAGCCAGCCCTGGGCCCAGCCAGTCTTTCCTTCCTGGCAGATCCAGCCCAGCCTGGCCGTGGGGACTGGAGTTGGCTGAGCGGGACCTGGTGTCTGAGAGGCTAAGGCCCCCAGCTGGTGGGGTCTAGGCCTGAGCTTCTGCTCTCCACAGTGCTGCCCAGCCCCAGCCCTCCTAGGGCCCACCTACTTCTGGTTTGCTGTGCCCATGGCCAGACCCGGCCCTGAGGGCTCACAGGCAGCACCGCTCTCCAGCTGGGAAGCAGCTTCATGATGCAGCCCCGAGTCCGTCCTGGGTCTGTCCAGCCTCTGGGCTGTTCCTCCGTCCAACTGGCCTTTCCTCTCCCTTCTTGGCTTCTGCTCCCAGGTTCCTAAAGTCGTCTGACCAGTTTGAAGCTTCAGAGCTGCTCCTCAGTGCTTTCCTTACCACCCTCTCCTCCCCGGTACTCCCCAGGGGGCTGTGGAGGCAGAGCCCTGCCTCTCCCTGTCCTCTAGACAATTCAACCACACAGACAAGGCCTTGAAATTATGTAGGGTCTCAGATACAGTCACACCAAGGACTCATGACACCTGGACTCAGACCCCACATAAACACAGGGCACATCACAGGCTCCCAGCTCCACGCCTAATATGACTCGGCGGTTCCTTGGGCCACGCTCCCATCCTGGTGCCCAGGGGCTCTCTTCTCAGAGGAGGCTCAGGGATGAGGAGGCTCAGGCAGGTGGGGGACAGGTGATAAATGGTGGGGGTCTGGGCTGCCGTGTAGCTCAGGGAAGCTGGAGAGTCAGGGCGTGCTTGGTGTGCTCCTGTTCCTCCAGCAATGACTTTTGCACATCCCCCAAATCTGTGTGTCCTCCCAACCATTCCACTGCTCAGCCTGGGATGTGTCCTGAGCCTCTTCTGTTGTCTAAGCCTTGGTTTCTGCATCTGTCGCCTGGGGATTAGTGTCTATTCTGTCCACCTCCCAGGGCTTTGGAAGATCAGAGACATACTCACTAAGGAAACTGTAAGCTGTAATATCATTACCTGACCCCAGGTTTCCAGACCCAGGTAGGCCCCAGGCGGGACCCTTAACTCTGTTTGCTAAGGAAGAGCCCCAGGGCTGAAGAATTTCTGGGGAGAGCAGAACTTAGAGCTGAGATGCTGAATCCAGCCCGTTCCAGGAACCCTGCCCCGCCTTCTCCCAGGCGGGCGCACCCAGGGCCCGACCATGCCAGGGCCCAACCACGCCAGCTGGGGTCAGAGAGTGAGCAGCAGCTGGGTGTAGACCCAGGGAGACTACCGTTCCGGGCGGGGCCCCAGTAGCACCCAATGGTGGCAGTAGGTGTGTCTACAAGGTGACCTGCTTATGGAATTTTCCACGGTTTTTCTTCTTTCTCGGGGTGGAGCTGGGGTTTCACCGTTCGCATAACTGGATCCATATGCCTTTGCCCACGGACATTTCCAAACACGACAGACCTCACTCACCTCTGGAAGATGGCGGGAGCTGTGTTTGGCCCTCTAGGGGGACATCAGCAGAAACACCCACGTCTGTCCTCCCAGCCAGCCCCTCAAGCACATTTTGCAGAGAGAAAGAATCAAGGTCCATCGGTTTTATTTGACTCCATAGGGGAAGGCCTCGCCCCTCCCAGACCCCAGTGCCCCGAAGCTGGAGGAGGAGGGAGGGTGGCAGGCCAGAAGAGCAAGGCCTGCCTGCCCTCGAGCAGCCTGCAGAAAGGAGTCAGGGAAGATCCGGAAGAAGCCCCGCTGTCTTCAGGGGCTGACCCTGAGGAGAAGCAGGAGTTGGACTAGAGCTCTGCCCTTGTCAGTGGCACCTCCTCTGAGCAGGCCCCCCCGGTGCCTCCGCACAGCAGTGCCTCCAGAGCCTCTTGGCCTTGTTGGTGGGCTTTATAGATCTGGTCTTCTCCAAACTCCCCCAGGTAGTGCAGGCACGTCACGGAGAGCCTAGGGGAGCCCCACAGGAGCGTCAGACTCAGCCAACCCTACGGGGGGACGGACTAAGGTTCCCGGGGTTCCATCCTGCCTCCCGCCTCCCATCATACCTGGTGGGCCATGGTCCCCCTGTGATCATCACGCTGATGTGTGGCTCTGGCCCATCGCTAAGTCCTGGGCCTGTGAGACGTTTCACCTGGTTCACTTCTCGAACCCCGTAGCTGGAAGAGAGTGACACAGCATTAGTGAGGGCCTGGCCAGTGGGGCACCTGTCTCTATGTGAAGCCGGCGCACTGGGCCTTTTGCCGAGTTCAGTGCCCAGATTCTGATCCTCCCTGATGCAAAACTGAGGACCAGAGAGGGGAAGCTCCTGGCTCCATGACCTTGTTGCTTGGGTACCTTACCCTTCGACTTGCTCCCAGCTCCAGAACTCAGACTTGGTCCCAACTGACCCCCTGCCATGACCGGAGCCCTAGTGGAATGCGTGTGGTGTGAGAGGACGAGTGGGGACCTCCACCCACCAAGTCCTGCTCCTGGAGGAAAGAAGGGACCAAACTTTCAACTCACTCCTGCCAGGCCTGGGAGCAGCTCTTGTCCAGCACGTCTGTGTAAACCGACTCACTCAGCTCCTGACGCCCCCTGTGGGTGTGAAGCTTGGCCTCTGCCTTTGCCAGATGTTGCCCCATCTGGAACAAGGAGGAACTGAGAGTCAGGGCTCAGGCGCCGCTCAGTGTGGGCGAGAGAACAGGAGCCTGGGGTCTCTGGGTGAGAATGGGGTGGCGAGGGAGACTCTGGAGCAGGAAGCACCTGTGAGGCAGGCCTCAGGGTCCTCCCCCGGGTCCCAAAAGCTGGGACTGGACCAGCTGAGGCAGGATCCACTTTCCCAGAATGGGGTGGGTGAGTGGGAAACACTGAGTTGGAAGTTTAGGCCGGGCAGTGGGGTCCCTCCCCCAGGGCACACCTGCCCATCAGCACATGCTATTTTAAACCACAAGGAAAGAAAAAAAACCCGGCCCATTCTTCAGTGACACATGTACTCACAGGTCCTTTCCCCACCCCCACCCCCCACCCCCCACAGAGGTACTCAGGTAGGCTTGACAGGCTTGTGTGTGAACTCAGACACACACACACTCATATATCCATGCACTCAGATCACATGAACACACACACCAGTCTGCCTCAGTCTTATTTTAGGAAGGAGTCCAGACCCGACATGGGCCTGGAACTGGAAGAGCCTGAGACCACGAGGTGGTGGTGACTCCCTGGGACCTCAAGATACTGGGGGGTGTCCCAGATTTCTGGTCTCCTTTGGACAGACAGATGTGTAAACTGAGGCATGGAGGTTCGGGTGAGGTGAAGATGGCAATGTCATGGAAGGCCGAGCCTGGTTGGATGGCCAGGAGTGGGGACTGGGCATCAAAGGCAAGTGGTGGCATCTGAGGTAGATGGGCAGGTCTGGCTTGAGGAGGCCCGGGCAGGGGACCTGCTCCGGGAAGGGACTCACCTGGTAGGCCACTGCCCTGCAGGCATCACAGCGAAGGTGCGCGGGCATGTGAGCTGAGTACTTCTCCTCATCATCCAGCTGTGGGGCAGCGGCTGTGAGTGGAGCACTGTCCCCGAGGCCCCCTGGGATAGCCCAGGCCCCCAGCAGCAGCAGTAGCAGTGGCAGTGACAGCCTCATGGTTTGTGGAGGCGGCTTGGTGAGCGTGGGCTGTGGTCAGGATGCAGATGTACGTGTATGCAGTGGGGGCCTCCCCAGAGCGCCCGACCCAGACCAATGGGGAACCGACACCTCACCCCTCCCATTTTCTCCCTTCCGCCCAGAGACACCCCATGTGTACCTCCTCTAGCGGGACACCGGTGCCAACCAACTGAGCTCCATTTCTCAGGTAGGGGACAGTGGGGCAAGGAGAGTAGCTGGGCCTGGGTAAGACACATGGGGCTGATACTTCCCAAGTCCTGGGATCTGGCCATGTGGCAGGCACTGTGCTCACCACCTTCCAGGAGGAGGTGGTCGGTTACTGTAATCTTTATTCTACCACAGGGACATGAAGGCTCGGAGAGGAGTGACAAATCCAAGGCCACGCATCTAGAGGGGCCATGCTGAAACTGGAGTCCAGACCTGATTGACCCCAAAGCCCACTGGCCACTCAGCCATCAGGAGGAACGATGCTACAGGTGTGGTTGCTAGGTTAGGGGTCCCTCCCTGGGAGGCAAACTCACTGAGGCAGGGATGCCAGTGTATTAAAGACACACACGATCTCCTTCCCTGTGCCCTAGTGTCCCCTCCACCCAGGCAGGAAAGGGCACGTGGGGGTGTTAAAGGGCCACAGCAGGAAATCAGACACCTGACACCAGTTGTTCCAGCCATCAGAGCTCATTGGGTCAGAGATTTATTGCTCACCAGGATGAGGTGACAGGCCCAAGGCCCTCCCTCCACATTATGGAAACAGCATCTCCGGCCATGAAAAGATGTCCAGCTTTTTCTGGCTCATAGTTCTCCCAGTCAGTTTCCAGTTCAAGGCAGGGGGGCAGGGACTCCGAGGACCCCTGGTCTCCCAAGGGCATGAAACTTAATGAAGGCATCCTTCTCTGCCCCAAATACTGCTTGTAATGGGCACTTTTCTCCCCCAAACTCATCGTCTCACATACCTGCTCAGCAAGGCCCAGGCACTTCAAGCTCAGAACTACACACAGACCCCCACACAGAGCACCTTCCACTTACTCCATGCACCTTCCTCTGCCCCCCTCAGCGGCTCCTGGAAGCTCAGGGCAGCTGGAACGCATGCTCTGGGGCCCGTCCCTTACTACGCTGGGAGCAGCCTGCAGAGCCGGCACCTCTCAGCATGGTTGTCACACTGGTGCTGGGGAAGTAGAACCAGCTGAGGGCTCTAAGTCTCTCTGGCCAGCCCCACACAGAAGCGTCCCTTCTACTGTCAGCCCTTTCCCACTCTCTGCTCCACCCGGAGGGGTCAGAAAGCTCCTCTGGAACAACAGTTCAACCATTTTCCTGCTTGTAAGTCCTTCCTGACAACTCACTTCATCTGCTCCCTACCCAGGCTGGGAATGGCTGAAGTCTCCATCCCTGGCCCCAGGATGAGCCAGCTCAGCTCTGAGGGTTTAGAGAAGCCAAGCCAGAAGCCAGGGTTGACGTGGGAATACAGGGTGGGGCCCCAGCTAGGGACTATGGCCACTTTCCCACTTGCCTCCAAGTACACCACAGCACCTCCACTATTATTTCCCTGCTCCACCTCTACCTGCTGTCCCCACAGCTCCCTTTCTCGCACACAGCCTGGCCTGGCTGCACCAGCCACTTCCCCTCACTGCCTCCCAGGCCAAGGCTTAGATGCTCTTCCAAATCGTAACAGATAGATGGCCAGAGTCCTTCTCCCTCCATCCCACTGCTGCTCAATAGCCCGCTCCGCTTCAGCTGGGCCCGCCTTCAGGGAAGAACAGACAAGCACCGCCTCTGTGGGCAGCCTGTCCCCTGCTGCTCCCAATTCCTGCTGTTCCTAGGGAAGGCCACCACCCCCTCAGCCTGGCTCCTGGGAACAGGTCCCAAGACTCCTCTCTTTCTTGCACACACACACACAACACACCACACGCTGGGAATGCTTGGGAAAGGGGTACACAGTGCTGTTGTGGAAGGAAGGCAGTCACTTCCTGAACTCCAGCTCCATCAGCTCCCGGGACTCAGTTACATTCTCTGAAGGTAACTTCCGGTCTGAGGACTAGATGAGGTGGGCAAAAAAGGTGACAGAAGACGGGCAGGGGACTAGATGCCTGAACCTTTCAAGGCCATCAGCAGGCCTCAACGCCGTGCGGATCAGGTCCTGGGGGCTTCATACAGGGAACAAGGAGCCCTTACCGGCCTGGGCAGGACCCGGACCCAAGCTGGTAGGAGGAGCGCAGAGGAACATAGGGGGTGCAGGGCTGGGGGTCCCACTCACGGGCAGGTAGTACATCCCGTCCAGGGACCCCGCCTCCGACGCCCAGGGTAGCTGGGTGCCGCTGAAGGGTGGCGGGCCCGGGGATGGCGGCAGTGAGAGGCCAGGGATAGGCCCATAGGCGGGCGGGTAGAGGTTGGGGTTTAGGGCTAGCGGGGTGTAGATGCGTCGGGGTAGCCCCGGGGGCGAGGGCGGCAGAAGCACCTCCACGTACTGCCCGCTCTCAGGGTCAAAGAGCAGCCGTAGCCGAGGCTGCCGCGGCGCCTCCACGAAGTAGTAGCGGCCACTCTCGGGATCCACCAGGACCTTGCCGGTGCGCGCGGCCCCAGGTGGCCTGCGAGACCCCTGGGAGGGGCCGTCAGGGGACCGGTCCAACGGAGGCGCAGAGGCTGCGCGGGGCTGGGGCGGAGCCGTCATGCCAGCCAATGCCTGGGGCTCCCGCTGCACAGGCGCCTGGGTCGCAGTCGCAGGTTCGGGGGCGGAAGGGGGAGTCTCCAATTTGGGTGCTCTCCCAGGGCTTGAGCTAGGGTGCACCTGAGGGGAGCTGGGGCCGGGTGGTCCAGACCGTCGGACCCCTGCTGGCCCTATGGACGACTGTTGGGGTAAGGCCCGAGCTCCACCTAGGGGGCCGGTCGTACCCTCGCCATCCGGGACAAGGCGCTGGGCCTCCGTAGCCCGGTTTCCCCCTCCAGGACAGCGCGCCAGGACTGCCCTGGTTTCCTCTGGCCGGCGGCCCAATGCCAGGGCACCGGGCAGGCGGATCTCAGTGCGCGCAAAGGGTTTCGCGGTGCTGTTCTCTGCCCTCCGCCGCAGGACCCCGTTGGGCTGAGAAACGTCCCGGGGGGCGGCGTTGGGGGGTGGCTCTGGGGACTCGTAGGGGTGCGATACCACCGGCAGAAAGTCCTTGAGATAAACAGAAGTGTAGTGAGCCGGGGCGGGGGTCCCGGGCACCTGGAGCTCTTGCGTCTTGGATGCGCCGCCTTCTTCCTGGCGGGAATCCGCGGGAGGCCCAGGCAGTCCTGAGCCTGGGATTCCCGCCGGGAAGCTCGGCGCGTATGTGGTTTTCACCATCTTGCGCACGTCGCGGGGCCGTGGAATAGCCACACGCGGGCGTTCCGGAGCCGCTTCTCCAGGGCCCAAGGCTTCCGGGCGCGCGTCCGAATCCACGGTGCCCACGAGGCGACTGAAGGGCGGGTCGGGTGCAGCCACGTCTGGCGACCGCCGACTGCCCCGGGAGGCAAGATCCGGCATCTCCCGCGTGGAGGGACTCGGAGCCTCTGTTAGCTCTGGAGTCCTGGGTGAGGATGGCGCAGGCGGCGCTCGCTCCCCCTGGACCACGCCGTTCACGGCTTCTCGCGTAGAGACTACCGATGAACTCTGCACTGTGGGATCCCACGTCTCTTGGGGCGATGGGTTCCACGTCCCAACAGGACGATCTGGAGCCTCCCCTGAGATCAAGGCCGGCGGGGATGGGCTCCTACTCCTCTCTACTGTAGCTCCGATGTCGGGGTGTGGAGCCGCCCACTGCGAAGGGGCCTCAGGGGATGGGCTTCTTGCCCTGGCAACACCCGGATTCCACGGAGAAAGGGTCAGAGGGGAAGAACTTTTTCTGCTGACAGTTTCCTCGACAGTGGGATCCTGATTTTCCCATGCGGAGTGTGCCTCGGGGAAGGACGGGCTACTCACCTTCCGAACAGCCCGGTCCCACGGGGACAGGTTCTGCGGGGCCGGGCAGTGAGGACCCCGCACGGCTCCATTTGGAGCCTGCCCCAGCGAGGACGGGCTCCTCGGCCTCACAGCCTTACTTGGAACTTCCCAGCGGTCCCTGGATTCGAAAGGCGGACTCTGTGGCCTCAGAATGGTTCGATCAGGAGTCTCTACTGGGAACCTAGTCTTGGGCTCCTGGTTCTGCGTCTCCTGGGTCTTCTCCGCTGACTGCAAGAAGATGCTGGAACTAACAGGACCCAGTGGCTCGGTCCCTGGCACGGGCTTGTCGCGCCGAATCGCGCGTTCACGGAGGCTGGGCCACGGCCGTGGGGCCCTAGCAGGGACTGAATTGTATTGCACGCGGGGTGGCCGAGACCTGCCATCCTCCTGGACCATTCGGGGACTGCTGTCTGTTTTCCGAGTCTCGGGCTCTGGTCGATCCGGGGGCCCGAAGGTGGCGCTGCCTGGGGCAGGAGCCGCGGGGCTCAGTTTTCTGGCCAGCGCCGCCTGCACGATGCCCGCGGCGGCCTGCAGGCGGCCCAGGGACTCGTCCAGGGAGCCGGTGCGCAGGAGCAGTCGGGGGCGCGGCGCGCTGGCCTCCCGCTGGGGACTCCGAGGACGGGGGCGCAACTCGATCTGACGCTTGGGCACCGTCCGGGGCCTGGCGGGCGCCGCAGGCTCCTCCAGCGCCACCTCCACACATTCGAACTGCGCAGGGGTGGCGAGACCCGGCCCGCGGGGCCGCAGCTCCACGTAGGTAGCCCAGCGGGAGCCACCGTCGGGGAGCGCGGGCTGGGGCTGTGGTGCGGCGGGGGCCGGAGACGCGGGCCCGGGCGGAGAGAGGCTGCGGAAAGCCCGCGCCGTGATCTGTCGCACCTCGCCATCCGCCGAGTCAGAGGGACCGAACAGGGCCCCCGCGCCGAAGATGACTTCCATTTCCCCCGACGGCAGCATGCGCAGCTGGGGCTGGGGCGGCCGCGGGCCCGAGCCCCGGTCTCGCGGGAAACCCGAGCCGGGCCGGAGCTGCTGGAGGCTATTCTGGGCGCTGACGGACAGGCGAGGCTGCGCCCCCGCCCCCAGCGCAGGGGCCACCCCGGGCCAATTCGCCCGGCCCTCCGCGTCTGGCCCAATGTCCGGGGGCTCTGGAGAACCCGGAGCCGTGTGGTAGGAGCCTGACGAACCGGAGGAGTCCTGGCGCCGCGCGGGGGCCGAGGGCAGTTGACCTGTGAGCCCCGGCAGGGCTGGCGGGGCGAGCGCGATCAGCATGGTGGGGCCGGACGCCGCTCACTACCTCCCTCGCACTCGCCTCCGCTGCTGCCGCGGACGCCCGCGCTGTCCCCGCCCCGCCCGCGGATGCCAGGGGGTCACCGCGCCTTAAAGCGGCCGCGCCCGCTCGCGACCCAGCGGTATCGCCGGCAGGAGACCCGGACCCTGGGCCTTACCCTCCCAAGCCCCTTCTCCTCCGGCGCAGCTTGGAGCACCAGGGTGGCGCTCCAGGTTTTGGCGGACAGGAAGGGGAGGGGAGGAAATTGGGGCCGTTGGGGAGACCCACCTGAGGTCAAGCGCTGTGGCCTGTGGATCAGTGGGTGAGCCAGGAATCCACACTTTCAGGCCAGGCAACTCGGGTCTTGCCAGCAATTTCGTCTTCCCTTCAGCCCTCAGTACCTTTCCATCACAGCAGGACACCCCTGCTCCCTGGTCTGTCATCTCATCCCAGTTGGAGCTCCTAAGAGTGCACCCACTTTCCTTGACCAGTCACGCCACAACCTTTGACAGAGGAACACGGCTTGAAGGACTCCCCTTACCGCCCACACCCCACTCCAGAAGTTGTGCTCAGGACCCCAGGAAGTTGCTGTCCCTGGCTAGGCCCCATTGCCTTTAGTGGGAACTTATTGGAGGGAGCTGGAGTGGACAGGTCTTGTACAGGCTGCCTTGGCAACCAGAACAAGTCCTGGATGCTGATGTGGGCTCTCTTAGGTACATTTTGAGTTGCCATGGAAAGTCCCACTGAGGCAGGAATAGCTCTGTGCTCCCCTAGACACTCACAAGGCCCTCATTCACCCCCCCCCCCTTCAGCACTGGCCCTGGGGGCAGGCACTGGGGGGTAAGCAGCCACCATCTCTAAGTGTTCTGGGGCAATGACAATGGGCACTATCTGCTCTAATACTTCTGACTTCTAGGTCCTGCATGACTCGGGTCTCAGCTGGCCCTGCAGCAAGAACACTGGCCCCTCTTCTGCACCTGCTTTCACACTGACCTGGGAAGAGCTAGACTTGACAAATCTCACTCCGCCCCCCCCCCCAGTGGGTGCCCCACCAGGATGAGTCTCTGTGATCACCTAGCCATTAAGTGATGACTTCCGAGGGGATGAAGCCTGTCATGCCCCTTCACAGACCGTTTCCTCACCTAAAAAGAGACATGGCATTCTCCTCTTCCCTCCTCCCGTTTGTGAAGACTCATGATTTTGTTTGGGGGAAGGGTTAAGAAGGTGCACATGTAATTCACAATATGACATTTTTGTTGTCATGATTTCCCAAATTGATTGTGGCCTGAGAACCCACTGTCTTTGAGGTCTCTGGTCAGGGCTCTCTCTCCCTCTCTCTCCTTCACACACGGCTGTTTATATAGGCAGGGATTAAATACCGAGTAAGAAAGGACAGTGCCCACTGGACAACAAAGTAGCCCTCCCCTAGACTGCAACCCCATAATCCCATGGACCCCCTGGCAGGTGGTGCTCCGAGAGGCCTGTCCCCCACCCAGTCCTGATAACTTAATTCTCACTTAAGTCACCAAGGCCCAGGAGGCAGGCAGGCAGGGAGGAAGGAGTGTCTTCTGTCTCTTAACCTGCCCCTTCCCTGGGGGCCAGGCCTCTGGTAAGTCTTGAGGGGATCCCCACAGGATAGCAAGGCTCAGGATGGGGATCTCCACAGCAGAGAAGGCAGAGATCAGGTTACAAACAGAAAGCTGACGACCATTTTTATTTTTCCCTGGGATGCTGGTGGCTCCATGCCTGTCGTGTCCCCAAGGCTTTCTTATGCTTCTGGTCCAGCACCTGGGCCATGTAGTTCTCCTGCTGCTTCTGGATCCGGAAGTCAGACATGTGATTCCTGCAAGGAGCCAGCTGGGCGTGGGCTGGGGACAGCCCATGGTAGGAGCCAGAGGTCTGGCTCTCATATCCATCAACAACCCCCAGCCTGTCCATGACCCCTCACCTGAAGATCTGTTTCTGTTGGCTGATAACTTGCTGCAATTCCTTAATCTCATTCTCTTTGCCATTAAGTATATCTTCTTGCTTTATAATGTGAGACTCAATTTCTGTGGGGGAGAGAGGCAGGGAGGAGGTGGTTCCATCCCACGGGCCCCTTCCTAAGACAAGGCATTCCATCGTGGGTCTTTTCAGAGCTTGGCTCCTGCCACCCAGAAGTTCTCCATGAGTAGCAGCTAATACTTTAGTAAGAATGAGTTCATAGGGTCTTGATGGGGTGATGGGGACACAAAGTATGATAAATGTGTCTGTGACTTCACAACTCTATTCTGGACCAGGTGACTCACATGAGGGCAGGCAAAGGCCCTTGGAGAGAAGTGGCAGCCCTGACCAAAGGCAGAAGGATGAATAGCTCCTGACCTGATCTGCAGATCTTTGCACATGTCGCCTCTTTAGTGAGACTCTCCCTAGTGTAAAATTATAACCCTTCCCAATACTTCCTATCTCCTTTCCCTGATTTATTTTCCTTTGTAACATTTATATCTAACATACCATATATTTTACTCATTTACCTTCTCCCCTAGGATGTAAGGACAAGGATTTTTTTATTCACGGTTTTAACTCTAGCCCTAACATAGTTTCTGGCACATAATAGGTGCACAATAAATTTGTGGAATGAACAAACAGGATGTCCCCTGGGGGTTTCGGACTTAGAAACATTACCTATTTTGATCACCTCAATCCAACCAGACCTACTGAGGGCCAGCCAGGTGTGTCCAGCCCTGGGCAGCGTCCCTGCCCTTGAGGCAACAGCTCCCAAAAGGAATGTTAAGGTTCAGGAGTCAATCAGAGGACAGAACAAAGTGATGTTTCAATGAATGTTGGTGGGACAGTATTACCACTTTGGGCAAGTTGCCTCCTTTTCAGACCAATGTCATCCATTTCTACAGTCGAGGGTAGAGGCGGCCCCTGAGGGCTGGGGGGACCCAGGGAGATTAATGGTTGCAAAACTCGCCTGCTAATTAAGTGCTCATTAGATGCCAGGATGGTTTTTGTGACTTGGGCCAGAATCCAATGAGGCTGTAGGAACCTGTGGGGGTGCTTCATTTACAGAACTATCTCTTAGGAAGCCCTGGAAAATTCTGATCCTCACAGGAAGAAAATCCCACTGCCTTTAAACATTAGACAAACAGTACCTGAAACAGAAGCTCTGAAAATGCAGAAACGCTGAAGCATTCAAGGTTTCAGAAGAGATGGTCTGGTAAAAAGTTAAGGCACAGCACAGAAAAGAGGACACACAGGTGAAGGAGGGGAAGGAAGATGTGAGCTCAGGGGCCCGCGACAACCAACACTCCTTCCCAGGTCATGCAGCTAATCTAGACTCACTGCCTGTGAAGTTCTCTTGAGAAAAAGCATCAGAAATTTGTATGAATCTTTTAAAGTAAATGAGATAAGTAAAATAAATGGCACCAAGTGAAGGAATAGTTAGAAATGCCCTTTGAAAAGATTCAGGAACTGTGTACGTAAAATCAAACCGAAACCGGGAAGAGGCAGTGGGGAGGCACAGGCCAGGAGGAGGCCAGGGGGCGGGCGGTTCAGGTCACCACTGGTGAGGGCTAGTGTCCCACTGGAGGGATCCAGGACGTTCTGGGAGGAGGCAGCCAGGCTCCGTCCCTGTGACTTACACACACCTTCAGATGAAGAGCCCCATGGCCTCGGCTGATCTCTAGGAAATGCCCTAAAGGAAGGATGTCTTTTCCTAGCACTTTGAGGGAAGGACCCTAGGTTTCTTTTAGGGAAGTGAGGGTGGGGGGTGTCCAGAGAAAGGGAAAGGACTGGGACTAGTGTCCTTGGGTATGAAGGCAGTGACTGCCTGCTGGGCCCTAGGAGGCCCTAATGGGAGCCCTTGATCAAACCATGAGGCCTGTCAGGCCGCCTGGCCAGATCAAGATGGCAGCCTGCTGGCAACTTACCAGTGAGAATACTCACCGAGGGAGAGAGAAGGCTGGATTGGAAGGTAGAGGGTGCCCAGAGCTCCAGGTGGGGCCCACCAAGAGAGACCCTGAATCTCTTTTGGGCTTAAGCTCTGGGCTCTGGCCTATTCAAAATCTGCTGCAGTGAATGAAGCAGATGTTGTATATTGAATTCATATCTACTTCGTAAAATAGTTATAAAATAAAAAATAAGGGAGTTTAGCACTCTTGGAAAATGAAAGTGGGTAGCTGATTGAAAGTGCCCTGCAACTCACAGCACCAGCCAAGCTAAGCGGCTACATGCATCTGCGTGGAGCAGAGTCGAACACTAACGGCCCACAGGCATACTTTACTTGGCCTATACAATATTTTAGAATTTTTAAATCACCCTGGCTGATATGGCTGAGTAGATTGAGCACTAGACTGTGAAGCAAAGGGGCATAGGTTCGGTCAGGGCACAGGCCTAGGTTGCAGGCCAGGTCCCCAGTAGCGGGCATGTGAGAGACAACCACACACTGATGTTTCCCTGTCCCTCCCTCCCCTCTCCCTAAAAATAAATAAATAAAACTCTGCCTTCATTCTTAAAAAATAAAATAAAATAAAATTTCTAAATCAGTTGCCACCACTAAAAAGTCAGCAAACCTTCCATTAAAACTGGTTTCTTTAAAAAAAAAAAAAAAATCCCTGACTGGTGTAGCTCATTGGATTGAGTGCAGGCCTGTGAACCAAACAACTGCGGTTTGATTCCCAGTCAGGGCACATGCCTGGGTTGCAGGCCAGTTCCCGGTGGGGGACACACGAGAGGCAACCATACATTGATATTTCTCTCTCTCTCTCCTTCCCTTCCCCTCTAAAGATAAATAAATAAAATCTTAAAAAAATAAAACTGGTTTCCTTTTTAAAGCTCTGACAGGCCCCAGCTGTTGAGTCTCAGTGGACTGAGTGCTGGCCTGTGAACCAAAGGGTTCCTGGTTCAATTCCCAGTCAGGACACATGTCTGGGTTGTGGGCCAGGTCCCCACTAGGGGGTGTGTGAGAGGCAACTATACATTGATGTTTCTTTTCCTTTTTCTCCCTCTCTTCCCGTCAAAAAAACCCCCCACCTAAATAAATAATAAAATCTTTAAAGCTCTGACAGCACTGGACCCCCGTTTCCGTAGCAGAGCAGCTGGGCCCTTGAGGGCTTGGCTCTCCACCTCACCACAGTCCCCACTCTGCCCTCCTATCCCCACCCAGAGACTAGGGATTAACTCCCAACTAGCACTGTGCTTGCTCTGTCGTTTCTCTTTTAACAGAGTTATGAATAAAGTATACTAGTTCTAACATCCATCAAAAGGGGGAAGACAAAAGGTGGACTAAGAAAGGCTGTATGTTTCAAGAAAAATGGAAGCAAGCCCGTTCCTTTATGGCCATGAAGAATATTGTACACCAACTGCTCTCCTCATTTCCGTGGCCTGCCTGGTCCCTGAAGGCCTTTGCGAAGCTGTGGCCCACCTGGGCCTGCCTGTATCCTCAGCCGGGAACAGAAGTTGGGATGAAACCCTGCCCTGGACATGGGCATGGAGCAGTTAGGGATGAGCCCGTGTATGTAAGCGTGGGAAGGAGCACGGGCCTCCCGCCTACCATTGCACTTGGTGATGAGCTGGTCCTTCTTGCTGGACTCCTGCAGGGCTCTGCTCTTTACAGTGGAGAGCCTGGGTGGAAAACATAAGAAAGGGTGGGAAGGCTGACAGGCTGATGGGACCCCTAACCTTCCCCCCATCAAGGCCCACTTACGCCTTTTCAAAGGCCAGCTTCTCTTTCTCCAGCTGTTTAGACAGCACTTCCACCTCTCCGAGGGCAAACTGCAACTTCTCCTCTTCCTTAGTCAGGAGGACCTTGGTCTTGGCATGAGCAGCTTTCTCTTCCTGCAGGGGCAGCACCAGTAACCTCATTACCCCAATCACCTTGGATCTCCTAGGCTCCCTCACCAGCCCCCTTACTCACAGGGCCACACAGAAGCCAGGGCACAGAAAGATTCTGTCCTCATTACTGGGGTTGGAGGCTCTCAGAGGTCTATACTCAATGACTCTGCTCAGCCACAGAGATCCTGGGACATGGGGGAAGATTAGGAGCCTGCAGAAGCCATTACTCACCACCAGCTTCTTTTCCAGTGCCTGGAACTCTTCTTTACTGACAAAATTTTCATCCTGGAGAACCATCTGCAATAGACACTGGCTCAGGAAGGGCCTGGGACTAGGGTGTCCTCAGGGACCAGGAGCAAGGATGGATAATGGGATAATGCTCATGGGATGTAGGATGAGGTTGGGGCCCTGGGAAGGGAGAATTCAGTTCCACAAGATTCACTGAGGCTCAGCTCTAGGTCCTAACCTCAAGGAGCAACCAGTCTTATAGCGGAGATAGCCCACGGCCAGAACTTGTAACATGGTGTGTACTATGATGAAGAAGCACAAAGTGGTGTTCAGAGGAGGGTCCTGACCCTGGGAAAGGGTCATAACTGCTTCAGGAGAAGGGGACATCAAATCAGACCTGACATCTGACTTCTATGTAGGGGTGGGTCAGAAGAACAGGGGTGGAAGAGGAAAGTGTCTAGAAGACTGTGAGAAAAAGGCCAGGGATGGAGCCTGCCTCTTAAAGATGCCAAGAGGAAGAGCTGGGTAATTGAAGGTAATGCAATTGTTAGGGCTGCATATACAGCCATCAGAATGAGAAAAAGAGGTAAATTATCTCATTTATAAGATGGAGTTACCTCCTGCCTTCTTATCAAGATAGAAAACAAAAACAAAAAAACCATGACCTCCACCTGGCCAGGATTTTACCATGC